TCTTTGAAAAGGAACTTACGGAAACGTTCATTAAATTCTGGAATTCGTTTCGAGGAAACTTTTTAAAACTTCGCCGAACTTTATTTATACTGTATGAACACGGTCGTAGTCCATAAGTAACCTTTAAACGCGAAACAAAGCATTTGAGGAGTAATCATGACGCGCAAATCGGATCAAAGTGACAGTGGTTGATTTATACTTCATAGATTAAATATAGACCGCAGAACTACAGGCTGAATTATCACGAAAATAGCTTCGATTTCTATTTCACCGTTGGTATCGCGTGTTGAAGCTTGAACTCCGATGACGTCTGCGTTGTGTGACCCATCGAACGCTATAGGAAGCGATACCCTAACTACAGTATATTACCGTCTGACCGCATTTGCTGCTTTGTTGATGTTCAGGTTGAAAGTTGCACATGTTCGACGCCAGGTTTCTCGCATAACATGCAAATGAACTTTCCTGTTTATGTCTGTGAAGCAGTCTTCAGTTTTTCACTTCAACTAACAATTGGATATTTAGTTACAAAGGAGTAAAGTTACAAAATGGAATTACAGAGTGACAAAGTTTCAAAGCCGTAATTCTAGGAAATACATAGTAGCAAACTTAGAGATACAAAGCAGAAATGTTACGAAACAGAAAAGTTTCGAAGCAACAAAGTTACAAAACAGCGAAACGACAGAATTAAAAAATTCATACCTGAGTAACTCGGAGTATCAAACCTCACTCGTGAGAATAATAACACGGCTGTCTAATTTAATAACACTACTTTCGTTAATTACCTCGAATAACCCGCTTCAATTTCAATTTCTTTTCTCGCACGTTTCTCGGTCTATTGCTTCTCAATGATTACGGTAAGCGCGGACTTGACTTTTACCATATGCGCAGTTTCTGTTTAGGAGATTTCGTGTGAGTCAGCATGTGTCTCGAATAATTGATTCTTGTAAGCCGACGCGTATCTACAGTTTACCTCTTGTGTATAGACTAGTATACGATATTTTCAGTATGACGCTTATCGCCAAGATTGCAATAGCCGACTATTATAACTTTACCTTGGTCGCACATTTATTATTGCTGGCACATCATGACTGTTATTATTAACAAAGTACCCGTAAAGAACACGAAATGCGGAGTGTTTCAGTAACTTATAGTTACAAAGCGATGCCTTAGTTACCATTCGCGACACGAGGGAGTAGAAGTCTAGTCTCTACTATAATTCTTTTCCAACGAGACCTTATACTTCTTCTTTAACGTCTCACGCTGTCATCGAAAGAAACGATCGACTTCATTAGTCATACCGATTCAGTTACTTAAAGATATTTGAATCTCAAGGAAAATAAGATCATCTGAATTCCACGAAGAAAATCCAAACAAAATCGAAGATTTTCTCCCGAATTTCAGCTGAGTGTATCTTTGTTCTCAAACGCAGTTGTGTACCGAATTAATATTAAACGCGAAAGAAAGGAGCATAAGAATCGCTTAAACGTTCAATCACAGTCCCAAGTATTCTCTGTGATCCGCACGTGCAATCCGCTGCAGCCTTCGCGAAAGTCAACAAGCATTTTCCCACGTCTAGAACAACTCTAGGACTCGAGCGCTCCGGAGTGACACTCTTGAAGGCAACCATCACGCATGCACGCAACACTGCACGCACAGACCGCGAAATATGCGTGAGCTGGACATTTACCTGGCTATTACCGTCAGGCCGACGCTATACTCCGATGCAATAACGCGTTGCAGGTCAAACCTCAAACTTGCCACATTCTGAACAGTCCGAGCGTTCCTGAGCCGCTTGTTCCGTAAAATTAAATTCGAAATGTAGCGAATTCAATGAAATTGCATCTTCAGTGAAATTTATTGATTCTACAATGTGTACAATAATATCTCGCACGTACCTATCCCCGTCAACATATTATTTATAAACTTCAATCAGACTAAGACTCGATCCTCCACGCCCCAAATCCCAATACTCTATCCTAAATTATCGCCGTTAGTCTCGCAAGAAGCAAGTCCAACGGTTTCGTTACGAGGAAATCAATTTCGCGATTAACTCCTAACTGTGCACATTGCTCAACATTTCATCACGCAGCGGCAACGTTCGTTTCCAGACGAAAGACGCGTCACCTGCCCGACGCCAGAACGTCCGCCGAAGTGAATCGAACGGAATTTTCCCGAAACGATCCAAGCGAAAAGGGATAATCGCTGTGAACTGTTAAAGTTGCACATCGAACGGTTCCCAGTGGGTCGTTGCAATGTTACCAAATGCAGGGGAACGGACACAGCGTCCCGAAAATGGCCGCTTTCGGCGTTTCACGTGAAAAGGCATCGCGACGCACGCACGCACGCGGATCCGCGCGCTAATTACCAGTCCATATGTTCCTCCGAGTCGCTTGATTTCACGCGAAGCCGTTTCGCGAGGGAAAGCAGAGCTCCGTCGAAAAACTGATTATACCCTTGCCACGTCGGACCGATCGCGCAACTCGCGTACGTACTTTCGAGGCGAAAAGCGCGGCCGATCGCCGGATACGCGGCGCAACGCCGCCGCTTGTCGCTCGAAATCGATTGGAAAATAGTACATCGGCCGGTTACACAAGCAACGCGACTTTTCTCGCGGCGATTTTCGATGTAAACGATGCCGCTTACGCTCGCGTTGGTTTTATTGGGTCGACGGGAATACGAAAGTTTCCCAAGCGACAGCCGATTCGCGTGATTATTTAGTTTCTGCTGTGATTAGGATGAAAGTGTTCGTTACGCGGCTCGGGTAGGAGCCTCGACGCGTGTAGGCAATAAAATGGAACTTCCTTTTGAAGACTGTACAGTGTCATTCCAATGGTTTCCAAATGGTTTCCGCGTAAATCATAAGTACCGTACTTGTTAACTGGTTATCGTCGGCGATGAACGCGTCGCTGCCGACTTCCTGTTTCGAATTATCCGTGGCGATTGTGGAATCTCGCGGAATTGCGGGTTTGGTGACCACAGATTGATTCTCGCGAAGAATGACGAGCTGTTTCTTGCGACAAGTTATGGGTACGAGGAATTTTCAGGAACATTGTGGCACGGATGTTTGGGGATTCTGATTTTTCATCTGTTGTTGGAAGATTGCTCGAACGTTCGTATAATGAATTATAACGGTTATTTTGTAATTCGTCAATGAATGTCGAGCGTGGACGACTTACCGCTGCTCGGCAACGAGAAACCCGTATAACTAGCCCGTAAGTGTAGACTTGGAGACAATGGTCGCTTATTAGATCTAATCGATCGGATTCTTGCGATCGTGTTCCTTGGTCACCGGACGGTTCAGTTGACTTCGGTAACTAAATTTTGAATAATACTCGTAGGAATAGCTTTCGTTGATAAAGAGGAATGAAAAAAGCATCATTCTTACGGAGAATTCATGGAAACAGAGAACAAACTTATAGAGGATCAACGAGAAACGAATAAACTCGTAGAAAATTAATTTAACCCTTTGCTGATACCTACATTTCTTGTCTATATGTGATGATTTGTGTACATAAGACGTAAACATAAATATAAACACTCTCGTTTCATCGATGCAATCTCGACAAAATAAGTAAAATTCAATAAGCGACCTGCGTTCTCGACATAAATCACCAAATCGCTGATTGACGTCGTCTATTAACACAACTGTAGTTAAAGGGTTAAAAAACGAAAAAAACCAATCAATAGAAGAAAAATTAGATTCTACATTAGCACGTTGAATGCCATGGGGGTCATCGGTGACCAAGCAAATCGAATTACTATAGTTCACTCAATTAAACGACGATTATTCGCAAACATTTCTATACTATAAATAATGCTATCCATTGCGGTGACATTCAGTTCGATGAACGTGCAATGATAACAATCGAATTGAGTCAAATGATTTAATATTATACTTTTTCCATTTTGTGTATTTTGCAGTATGAAATCGTGTTAACGTGTTAAAAAATGCAGCTAACGAAAGCTTCGAATGAATTTCTAACGTCGATATTCGGGAATCGCGTAAGAAAATTTGATTTCCGGATGATATTCGCTGTCTACCAGTGATATACTTCAGGCTATATCCATGCGTGACCGTTGTACCGCTAGCGGTGCCTCGCAACGCGTGAAGAATCGACCGGAGAATCGATTCCCGGACGGTTGAGCCGGGTTCCAGCGATATTTCGGGCGGAAGAGGCTCGCGCTGCAAAATCGTTTAACGGTGTGTTGAAACGATGGAGAAACAGCTCGGAGGAAACGCGTGTCTTGCGGCCCTCCGGGGCAAATTACAGAGATTACCAGCGTCAGGCTTATCAGCGGCATAACCACCGTGGCGAGCAACGCGGACGACGCGGCGCGGCGCGACGCTTCGGATCCGCGACTTTTCCTTTTGTCCGCGAGCAAACGAGCTGGCCGTCAAGCGGATCACGCGGATTCAATCTTCCGTGTCCCGCATCCGGGAAAGTAGCCCGTTTGCTGAACCTATTGCGTGAACGGCTGACCGGTGAATCGGTGGTTGGACACTTGGATCGCAACGGATGTCGTGTTAACAGTGGCCAGTTAAATTGACTTCTTGAAACTTCTCTGTAGAAACTCTATTTGGACTGTAATTGGCTTTCAATTCAGTTTGCGCATCGTCAATGTTTCTAATCATTTCTTGGAGAAGCATCGGTGACCTTAATAATTGGAAAAAGATATCAGGAATAGGTGATTTTAAGACGTCGGATAGTTTAATGTTGAACAGTGACGAGTATCAATAATCTTGTTTTTAGTTGGCAAGGATGAACGGATGTCGGGAAGACGAGGAAATTGAGAATAGAATGAAAATAGAGTGGAATGTTTAAGAAATAATAAAGTAAAGTCAAGTCAAGGAGGAATTAGTTTCATCCAAGCTAAAATTAGTCAAGCTCTAACTTCAAAATGACTCAAGCTCCAAAAATTCCTCCACTCCAAAGTTCCTCAAAACCTTCCTCTACACCCAACATACACCTGACTCGCAGCACACCTCAACGTCCCATCAAATGGCGAACAAGTCAATCCCAAAGCCTTCGATGCCCCAGCCTTCCGTATCCGTGAAAGCAGCAGAACCTATCACACGAGAGAAAGGGAGCAACAAGGAACAACCATCCCGAAGAAGAAGAAGAAGAAGAAGAAGACTAAGAGTGCAGGTCTCCAAAATGACTCAGGCTCCAAAAATTCCTCCACTTACTCCAAAGTTCCTCAAAACCTTCCTCTACACCCAACATACACCTGACTCGCAGCACACCTCAACGTCCCATCAAATGGCGAACAAGTCAATCCCAAAGCCTTCGATGCCCCAGCCTTCCATATCCGTGAAAGCAGCAGAACCTATCACACGAGAGAAAGGGAGCAACAAGGAACAACCATCCCAAAGAAGAAGAAGAAGAAGAAGAAGAAGACTAAGAGTGCAGGTCTCCGGTAAAAGAAGAAGCCCGTAATTTAGAATGGCACCGCGGATGCATAGGCTAGGTCAAGCCGATCGAGATAATAGCCCGGCTGACGGAGTGGTATCGTGGGGCTGATATATCTCGGCTGGGATGTACACCTAACGGGCACGTTGATGAGAGAATGGGGGGACGGATGATATCTTCGGTTTAAGTTCCATGGCAATCGGGAATGGAAAGAAGCCGCACTCGTTGGACCTTCACTTCCTCTCATTGTTCCATCTCGCCCGTCGTTCCGCTGGCCCCTCGCGTTCGCCCGGTGCTTTCTGTTCCGAGCAGGCCCTTCTTTTTCCGTGGATCGGCCGGTCTCGCTCTCCCGCGGTCGCTTTCTCAGCTCCCTTCGCCTTAATTCGTCCGGGGCCACCGTGTAGTCCGCGGAGCGGGAGCCGCCGGCAACAATATAACATCCGATTAGCTCATTATGCGGAGATCGACAGATCGATAAATTCGACGCGCCGGATCTGGGCCGGGTACTCGCCGATTATTTTACGCGATTCTTGCCGGTACGATGGCCTGCGGGTCTCGCCGAGGTTACCGTGGTTTATGGAAGATGAACGCGTCCGTGGCTTTTGAATTGATGGGTCTGTTGATCATTTTAGGATAATCGGCATGGTCGAGGGGGACTTTTTGATTGCGGTTGGGTAATTATCGTTGTTGGGCGTCTTTGGCGGAGTGTTGACTGGAGTATCGGTTTCAGTCGATTACGATGTATACGATTATGAGAATATATATTCTTCTTTGTTCTTGATGATTTCGATCGATGTGAACGTGTATTCTAGGAGTAATAGAAAAAAGTGTAGAATAAATGTTACTGAATGTAGTGTTAAACAGCTGTAAGTTGCTCGAGTATCGATAGTTTACTGTGTTGGTTAGTGCTAACTAGTAGCAACTTCTGCTACACATTGAATGAAGCTTTATGTACGAAGACGATGATGAATCGTTATTCAAACCATAAGTTTTCAATCATAGATAACAGAATATTTCCATGAAATGACTTCCTCCACAATCCAACCTTAAAAATAAAAGTCCCTAACAATCACAGCTTCAACAACCATTAACACCACTTCCCTTCGCCTCATTCATCGCATTACACCACCACATCCCAACAATAAAACCACACACGTTTCAACCACTCAACCACGGAAAACACACAACCAACATCCACGCGATCATCCCGAATCCATTCTCCCCGATGACCGGCTGCATCAGCCGAATTCCACCGAGGAAAAAGTGCGGCTCACCGAAACGATCCGCTAACGAAGAGTACCGTCCCTCTAATCCGCGCACCCCTAATACGTTTCGCGGAACCGATCGCCGGCCAGAAAAAGAGAGCCTCTTCAGCCTCTCGGCTCTGCCCGCCGAAACCCCGTGTCGGCGTGACGCGTGTTCCACGTCCGAGGAGATCGTGGCGAAAAAAAGTTGGCAACAGCGATACAACGTCCGATTAGCTTATTATACGGAGATCGGCCGCGATAAATTCGGGTGGCTCGGATCCGCAGAGGATGCTCGCAGCTGGTCGGTGCGCGGCCCGATAAGGGGACTCTCGTAATGTACGATCGCGATCTTCGCCACCATCGGGGCCCGAGACGCCGGGGCCCGGGCCCGGCCGGCCGAACATCTGGCCGCGGTTTCGACGCTTACCGAGCGACGACCGCAAGCATTACCGGGGCCGCATGCGCCCGGTAGGCAGCCAATTCGGCAGGTGATATCACATTCCCGCCCCCGGCCCGGAAGCGAAGGTGGAGAGAGATTCTCCGGCTTAGCCCCGATACGCATCCTCCCTCTCGTTTATGATTTATCGGGAGCACCGGTTGGCCCCCTTCTCGGACACCGTTAAACGGCCGCCCTTCAATCTCTTCCCTTCCAGGCAACGATCATCCGCGGCGCGCCGCCGCTTCGCCGGCAAAGGCTATAACTTTACCTTTGAACAGGGTTATTATAAACCTTGTCCGTGCGCCGGTCGCTATGATATACTGATCCCGATAGTATTGATAACGTCGCGACGTCAGCGGAACGCTACTGGCACCCCCTACTTTCGGGCATCTGCGAGATCGAAGGTGAAAGTTGCGATGCTTCGACGCGGGACAAGGTGGAAATTGTTGATGGAGGCTTGTCGGATTAGGAATGGAGATTTTTCAAGTTAAACTGGTCGGTAATTATCTGTGTTAAGCTGTCGGGTCACTGGTCGCCGCGTTTTATGGAAGTTTTACGGCGGCTCGAGCAAGAAACGTACTTTTATCTCCAAGCTCCGCGCAGATTCTAATCCGGCCGTCGATTGAATTCGGAACGGAGGAAAAACTGTCGCGGGATCGATTGACAGTCGAGAGAAACAGGATGCGGACCGAGCGATCGGAGAATTCGAGTCGATCGGTGAGAAGGAAGTCGCGCGGCTTAGGATTAAACGAAAGGGGGAGGAAGCGACGGGGCGGCGGCCGTTTCCTGGGATTATCGCGGGGTTATTATAATCCGACCGGTCGGATTAGGCCTCGAAAACTAATTTCAAGAGTCCTTTAGCGGGCCGCGTATGCGAACGACCGCCTCGAAAAGCGGGAGCGGAAAACTGGGTTATCGATCGGTCGAATTAGCGTTCGGCCGCGGGGGCTACGGCTCGCGGAGGACTTTTCGTTCCGGATATGGCGGCTGCGTTACGTGGCGCACGCGCTCCGGCCAGCCGAGCATTATCCAACTTGCAATTCACCCGATTAAATTTTTATCCGCGTTTACGCGCGTGCGAGTTTTTACCTCCGTCCCCCTTTGCACCGGCTAATTGCGCTGTTTACAGCGCGAGCTGCACGCGAGCTTCACCGTTGCATAAATAATCGGCGGGGATCGGGCATTCGAATTCTGGAAAAATCAACGATGATTGCCGCACCGTGGAATCACGCGCGGAATCACGTTGAAGGTCGGGCTCGATCGCCTTTGATCGGACTATGGAGATGAGCGACCGTGGTGTTTTTATTGTTTCTCGAAAGATTCGTAATCGTCGCACGGTAAATCGTATGCATCTGTTACAATCGATCAAGGAAAGAAGAATGTGTTCCGGTAGATCATCATGGTGCTTGGAAAAGAAATAATATTGGTAATAATTAAGTTCACCGAAAATCGGTAGAAGCTTGGAATTCATCTCCAATTTCTGTAGAAGATACAAAATGTTTTTATAACGATATCTGCTAATTTAATAATAGTATCTACAATTGTCTATTAATATAGATAATCCCACTTACCTCGCAACAGATCGACGCGTCGCAATCGAGTCAGCACATGGTCGAACAAGTGTGAACGCGATCGGCAGAGCGAACGCCAGAAGAACGCATCAGCGTTAATCTCTAAATCGCTCGTTAGAGGTGTTGAACTGTTGCGAGCGTTAGGAGACCGTACGCGAAACCGAAGGCAATTAGCTAATTATACCGGAGCCGTCTTAGGCGCTCCAGTTATCCTATTATATTATTATACTGTTTACCGATGTCTTAATCCGCGACGGCGGAGGGGTATTTGCATGCGTGCGAAACCTTGCCTCGCGGACGCTTTAATCCCAGGCCGGAGAACGATCCGTGTGCTTCTGTGACGCGGATCTAAGCATATCCGCCGGGAGTAATTGAATTTTCCACACTCCGTCCCCCGGCGAGGAAGAGCGAGCCGCGCGCCGCGGAAAAAGAGCGAGACCGGGCCTCGGGGGAGCCGGCCGCGGTCTGCACGGCTGCCTGACATAATCCATTTCTTCGTCACGGTGATCAAGCGGAAAGCTACAGGATCGCGCGGATAATTGTTTCCACAAAGTTACATGCACGCGGCGCAATTTGCTACTTTTCGAGACGAGGCTGCACGAACGCGACGCACGCTGCGGGCGACTCGTGTACGTCTGCATCGGCGGCCGGCGAGACTTTAGTCGGATGAATTGTGGGAAACGGTAAGCAGATTTTCTGCGAAGGGATTTCAGTGTTGCTTGACACAATAGAGATGGAGATTAACCATTTCTTCAATTACTTTAGTCAGAGATATCTTTACGAGTACAACAATTTTAACCCTTTCTAAATATTTAACATTTTCTAGCTAGGCACAGACGGTATTCTTTAAATTAACTCAAAGAAAAATTGCAAGTGAATTGAGAAACAAAGCTTTTTATCCCAACATTTCATACACCGATGCATTGTATACAGTTGAATATTGAATATCAAAGTCTATAGTTTTACTACATGAAATCAAGTGGTGACTGAGTCACCTCTCGAGTGCAAAGGGTAAAAGAAGACCGTTCACTTCTCTATCGACGCAACTACCTTGTTAGTAATTTATTGAAAGAAATAGGAAAATTAGTACTCCTATATCTATGTATGTCACTCTGTCTACTCTAAAGTGTAATAATCAATAACAAAAGAGCATTACCTCAAAATCAAGAGACTCGTAACATTTATGTTTCTCAAACTCTGGAACCTTCGTCACGAGCCTGACGCGATGTTACAAGACAGTTAACGCATCGAAGACCCCAACGTTATTTTCCAGTATCTCGCGAACAATGCTCTCTAAACAGGCACACGGTAACGAGCCAGCAACGGTAACGGTGGCGCCGTCGTGAATCGATGAATTAAAGGCCCGCAGGGCCCAAAGCGTCTGGCCCCGCGGGAGGACGAGCGGCCGAGGAATCCCGGCGTGACGGCCCACCTGTTTTGTCCACCCGTTCGCTCGTCCATCCGTCTGTGGCTCGGTTGCGCCCCAGTTGGCACAGGTGTTCCTCCGACTCTCTCTCGCTCCTTTCCTTTTCCCCTTTCATCTCCCACCAGCCGACGTTTTTGTTTCGACCGGCGTCCCGGGTCCCCTCGCGTCTCCTATTCATTACGGAGCGCCACCGGGACCAAGAGTGTCGGGCCGGCCGGGTGGGAGGACGGGACGCCGGTGAAAATGACGGATCGGCGAGGAGCCAAGGTGTGACAGGCCTCCGTTAGACGGATAAGAGAACGCGGCCGCCTAGAACGCGCTACC